CCCGTTGCGTAGATTTGTTTGCCTGTGCTTTGTGAAAAGTTGTTGTGGTGTGGGAATCGTAACCAGAATCATCCTATGTGGCAGATGGATGACCTGAGTGGTCAGAAACGAATCTGTGTGATTCGGGATGTCTGCGGGCATCATAGACTAGGCTTCCCGAGTGGAAGCGGATTGTTGTGCTGCTGGGCAGCTGGACTCTAGGAGTCCGAGAAAATGAAAAAGGCTTTAGGAGCCGATTTAATCAAGTGAAATGGCTCTGAGTGCCGAGAAGTAATGATCTGACTCAGGAGGTCGGTACATTACCAATTGAGTTGTTGAAAAGCATCTCTTAAAGTTGAATCGAGACGCAAGTCTCTTTTCGACCCAAACTTAAAAATAAATAAATCACTTAGTGATTTCAAAGAGATTTCAAACAAAAGATTTGCAAAACAACCTGAACACCTAAGTTCCCGTGACTTGCTGAGTACGAAAGTACTCACCCTTGCTCTATATAAATATATATAGTTCCTCCGCCCTGAAGAGAAGATGAAGTGAAGTGAAGCGTAGGGTTTCGTCCTGGTTCCCAGCCGTCGCCTGTGGTGTTGGGTGTTAGTCCGTTGGTTCCGCTGCTGCTGCTGTTGTTGGTGTTTTCTCGTCCGTGTCGTCTGTTGCATTCTCGGGCTGTTCTGAGTTGCAACCTAAGTTAAGGTAAATAAGTCCTCTATTTATTTTAAGGATTGCAATGATTCATTTTTGTCACCGTGGGTACCAGCGCTATGTCCTGGGACTGGTACTGAGATCGCGGTTTCGTAGGAAGCGGTTCGCGCCGTTTTTTCCTACGGCACGGTCCTGTCTGGTGCCGTTATACGGCGGTGCCGGATTGGGGTGTGACACAAACCTTTAAAAATTGGACCGTGTAGTTTTCAGAGTTTATTGTCTTGTTGGGCTACATTTTTTATAATTTTTAGAAGTCCCGTCAAATGATGCCACTATGCTCCTCTACGGCCCGTCCTCTGCCTATTCTTTAGTGTCATTGGGATTCTAAAAATCGAATATAACTATCGTTGGAATTCATTTTTTATTTTCTAGAAGTCTCGTCAACCATCGGCGGCTCTGCAACTATACTCCTATACAGCCCGCTCGCTGCTTCTCCTTTTTATTGTTATTGAGATTTTAAAAATCGAATATGATTATCAATGAGTTTTTTTTTACTTTCTAGAAGTCCCGGCAACCGCCTTGCCCGTTTGCTTCAAGGCCTGCTTGTCGTCCCTCATTTTAATCGTTGTTAGGATTCTATTTGCTGTTTTGTTAACAGTTTTTATATATCGTATCAACTACCACCACTCTACTTCTTTTATAGGCCTGTTACTTAATTTATTTTGTCATGTATTTTAGATGGTCTTTTGTTTCAATATTCTTTATTTTTTATCACCAATTTTAGTTATTTATAAATCTTTTTTTTCTAATTGAAATCATTTTTTTCTTTTTCTAATTTCAGAATTTTTTTGTTTCAAATTTTAATTAATACCGTATTGTATTCTTTTAATATTTTTATTTTTTATTTTCAATTTAAGTTGTTTCAAAATTGTGTCAGGGTTATGGATACCATATACCTAATAATAGTTGACTAAATCTCGGCAGGACACACTACATATCATGTCTTATACGGAAACACCCTTCGGATATAGGAGGAGTTCCGCATAAGGAAGGATGAATAGAGTTCTATATGGAAATGATAATTACTACTCGGATTTTATCCATATTTGTTTCCCTAGTTCTACTTGGACAAGGGGACACCTATGGGTATAAATACAAGGCCCCCTAAGAGAAGAGGGGACACGGAACAATAGATCAAGACACAAGATCAACATACAAGCCAACATACGACAAGACAAGCCGCCGGATATCAACATCGGAGATAAGCCTAGTAGTCCCCATATAGTACCTATGACTACCGTCAAGAGGGATCTAACGCTGTCTCTGATCTCGTCGGACACGGATTCGAGGAGAAAGACTACTCTGTGGTCGACTACGGGATGGTTTTATGGCCGCCAAGTCGACAACAGATAGATAGGCTACCCCAAATATTGTAATGGTGTGATTATGGTGAATAAGAGCAACGACCGGCTTCGGCCAACAGGAGTAGGGTTATTACCTAACAATTCAGGGGCCCGAACCTGTATAAAAATCCTCGTCCCCATCTCTTTTATTACAATCTCGCATATATCCTAGTACCAACGATTCCCATACTATGCAAATACTGGAATCGCGACATCAAACGTCGACAAATTGTATTCCTACTTGAAATCTCTTTTAGTTTTTCTAATTTTGGATATTCTTTTATTTTTATTTTAAATTTTAATTAATCTCGTATTGGGTTCTTATATGGATTCTTCTTTTAATATTGCTTATTTTTAATTCCGAATTTCAGCTAATTTTAAATTGTATTCCTACTTGAACTCTTCTTTTCTTTTCTTTTTTGCTAATTTCAGTTTTTATTTTTATTTTTATTCTGAATATTAATTAATCTCGTATTGGGTTCTTATATCGACTTCTTCAATATTCCTTATTTTTAATTCCGAATTTTAGTTATTTTTAAATTGTAGCCCTACTTGTACTCTCCTTTTCTTTTCTAATTTCACATTTTATTTTATTTTTAACCCGAATTTTGATTGATCTCGTATTGGGTTTCTACATGGACTCTTTTTTCAATATTGCTTATTTTTAATTCCGAATTTCACCTATTTTTAGATTTGCTAATTTCGGATTTTATTTTTATTTTTATTCTGAATATTAATTAATCTCGTATTTGGTTCTTATATGTACTCTTCTTTCAATATTTCTTACTTTTAATTCCGAATTTTGGTTATTTTTAAATTGTATTCCTACTTGGACTCTCCTTTTCTTTTCTAATTTTGGATTTTATTTTATTTTTATTCTGAATTTTAACTAATCTCGTATTGGGTTTCTATATGGACTCTTTTTTCAATATTGCTTATTTTTAATCTAAATTTCAGCTATTTTTAGATTGTATTTTTATTTGGACTCTTCTTTTCTTTTTCTTCAATTAATGTGAGAATTTCTAGCCCCCACAGCGAACGTGTTGACTTCTTTCAAGACTGTTTTAATAATATGATAGATTCCTTCGCCTGGTATGCTTTGTTTGCTTCCCGCTGTTTAGACTGCTAAGATAATCATGTGTTGTAATCTAGATTTTTTAAAATATTCATTATTTTTCAATTATGAATTATTCATTTTTTCTAATTTATGAATTTATTTTTATTTTAAATTTTAATTAATCCCATGTTAGGTTTTAGATGGATTCTTCTTGTTTCAATATTTATTGTTTTTATTCCAAATTTAAGTCAATTATAAATTATATTCTACTTGAACTGCTGGTTTTTTTCTCCGATTCATGTAAAAATTTCTAGCGTCCAAAGAGATTTTTTGTTATATTTTAAATTTGAATTTTAGTGACTTTAAAGTTTATTTCGAACCGATTTTATTTCTTCAACTAAAGCAAAAAAGAATTGTTAGATGTGTGCTTAAAAAAGAAAATATTCTTTATAAGATATATACTTGTCAGGGTTACAGATAATACATACCTTCTATCCTACGACTTATGGAATATACCAATAAAGCATACCTTCACGTACATGGATTGTTTCCGTGTACATCGTTAGGAATATGTCCTAAATTATGAAAAATATCTCTACGAGTTAAGAAACTACCAAAGTCCTACTCGGAGGGGATATAATCTCTGTTATATCGTATCAGATTACATATCTCCAAGCCTTGCTTGGGGTCAAGATAATCCACGGTATAAAAGGGGACCCCTAGGAGGAGGTGAAGGGCATGGAATATCATCGCCAACACACCCACCACAGTTTACGAAGCCGGAGTAATCGGAGCCAAGTCGCCGGAAGATCTCGTCGAATCTGTCGACTACGATCTCGCCGGTATCGTCGGTTTCATCTACTCTCTTTGTAATCTGTTCTCATCATCATCAATCTCATATAAACTGGACTAGGGCTATTACCTGATAAAGGACCTGAACCAGTATAATCCTTGTCTTCTGTTTGCTTGATGTTGTACTACATAGACCCTCATTACAACGTATCCCAATACTCAACTTATCCAGTCCGTGAGTATCACTCGTCGACAACTTGATAAGGGGTCTGGACTAGTATAATCATTGTCTTCTGTTTGCTTGATGTCGTATTATATAGATCCTCGTTCCAACATATACCCCAATACACTAATCATCCGATTTATGAGTATCACTCGTCGACAATACTCACTCGCGTTTCTATGGTTTTATGCATGCGTGCTGCCACAACTATCTGTTTTTCATGCCGCGCCATACTATTATGCTAGACACACGGGCATTGTGGCATGTGTAGTGTGCTAACTGCCTAGCACACGTGTTTATAGAGGTTGTCTGCCATAGTGCCCGTGTTCTCCGTGTTCCTAGCATAGGGGCAGACATGCATTGTGTTCCAAAATATCCCAAAATATAAGAAATGTCACATAAAATTTTATGTTTAGATAATTTTGTATGAGTGTTAGCCGTCCACTTGCGCGGACCACCCATCTAGTTTTAATTATATTATGGTTATATTTATTTCTTTTACTGAAATACCATCTAATATTGTATAGCTATTTCATTGCTTTACTTGCATTTACTATTTATTTTTTTCTAAGCACCCAGCTTGAGAAAAAAGAGAAGGAAAAAAAAATCTCGTTTTACACGCATACGTTTCCCAAACAGCTAAATGGTAAATATATATTTTTGTCTACTCAATCCTTTTTTCCCTTCTCTCAAACATTCTCTTCGTAAAAAAAAATAAATCCTGAGTTTGAACCTATACAGGATTGAACAGGATTTGTTTTTGTCTTTTTTACGGAGGGAATAGCGTTCAGCATTGAAGGGGGCGTTGCTCATCGCGCGCGGCACACCTTCACGCTGCACCAATCCGCATCGCACAAGTCCCCACCTGCCAGATCGGAAACGCCAATCAACGCAGCGCACCTTCGGGCAAAAGAAAAAAAGGTAGTAAAATAAAAAAAAAAAGAAAACAAGATCATTCCCCGATCACCAACCGACGAAACCCGCACCCACTCCTCCGGCCACCGACGCCGCAGCCGGCGGCGCAGAGAGGGGAGATCCACGCCGCCGCGATGGGCCGCAAGCGCGCGCTCCTGGTGGGCATCAACTACCCAGGCACCAAGGCTGAGCTCAAGGGCTGCCACAACGATGTGGACCGCATGCACCGCTGCCTCGTCGACCGCTTCGGCTTCGACGAGGATGACATCCGCGTCCTCCTCGACCGCGACTCCTCCGGGACGCAGCCCACCGGCGCCAACATCCGCCGGGCGCTGGCGCAGCTCGTCGGGGACGCGCGCCCCGGGGACTTCCTCTTCTTCCACTACAGCGGCCACGGCACCCGTCTGCCCGCCGAGACAGGGCAGAACGACGACACCGGCTATGACGAGTGCATCGTTCCCAGCGACATGAACCTTATCACAGGTGCGATCGGGAACTGGCCCTTCCCCTTTGTGTTCTTTTCTACCTTTATCATACTGTTGCAATCGATAAGCTGTAAAAGTTAGGAGTTCAAAGTTGTGTGCTGCCTTCAGATGTGAACAACAAACTGGGAAGACGCAGGTCAACGCCGATGTGATGCAGATCTAATTCAGGATTGGTTATTGGGCAATAAAAATACTAGATGGTTCCATTAGATTGTGTTGACAGTTTATGATTTTAGGTCCTATGCAGCTATGCTTCAGATTGATTACTAGATGATTCGATCAGACTACTTTTTTTTTTCTTTCTCTGTGGGGGACAGAGAGTTCATTACTCACGTAGTGTTTATGATTTAGAGCTTATGCTTAAGATCGATTAGGCTTCATTTGTTGTTATTTCCCTGTTGGCTGTTAAACTAAGAGTCCCATTAAATGGTTCTGATCTGCTAAAAGTTTGGATTTCTTATGCCCTGACTTCTGTTGAACTGTTAATTTCAAGATGCAGCTCAACTACTGATACTGTCGGAATTAGAAGGGAATAACTTTTTTTAATATAAATACAGATCATTTATTTATCAAGAACTGGTTTTTTCTTGTCGATCAATGGCTAGATCAACATCTAAATATCTAATAACTCACAAGTTACCTTTTTGTTTCTTAGGGTGAAGCAAAGAATGTCTCTTGCCACTTAGGGAACTTTCTTGTCTGAATTTTGCTTTGGTCTTACCAAATGTTAGTTATCGTGCAGGATTAGCCAATCATTCATGTCTAAGTGAACACTTCTTATCACAAATGCCAAATGCCTGATCGAAAGTGAGAAAATGTTTAGACCAGATTTTAGTTTGTTTCAACCATTTCTGATTCATTCTCTTTTCTAGTTGATAGACTGTTGCTTTCTATCTAGATGATGATTTCCTTCTATCAATATGCCAGGCCAAGCATTTTGGCCTTTTGCGCTCCATATTTCTGCTTTTGATCTGAAAATATACTCTCATATCAAGATGAATACAAACAATTATTATAACTTAATTCATTCGTTGTTGCTATATGCAGATCAAGATTTCAGAGAACTTGTGCAAAAGGTGCCCAATGGTTGCTTATTTACCATCGTCTCTGATTCTTGCCACAGTGGTGGCCTATTGGACAGCGCCAAGGAGCAGATAGGTAATAGTACCAGGCAGAATCAAACCCAGTCCCGTGAACGCGAAGAGCCTTCTGATTCTGGCAGTGGTTTCCGGTCATTTCTCAAAGAAACTGTTCGGGACGTGTTTGAGTCTGAGGGAATCCACCTCCCTCGTAGTCGCCATAGCCAGAGCCACTATGGAGGTGAGGACCAGTATGAGACATACGCTCAACCAACTGATGGCCACACTAAAAATCGGTCACTGCCACTTTCAACTCTTATTGAGATGCTTAAGGAGAAAACTGGGAAGGATGACATTGATGTGGGCTCAATTCGTATGACATTGTTCAACATCTTTGGAGATGATGCTAGCCCAAAGGTCAAGAAATTCATGAAAGTCATGCTTGGGAAATTCCAGCAAGGCCAATCAGGCGAACAGGGTGGTCTCATGGGAATGGTTGGCTCCCTGGCTCAAGAGTTTCTGAAGGTTAAGCTTGAAGGCAACGAGGAAGAAGCTTTCAAGCCAGCTATAGAACAAGAGGTTCACAGTGTTGACGAGGTGTATGCTGGGACTAAGACATGGGCACCTAACAACGGCATTCTGATCAGTGGGTGCCAAAGTAATCAAACATCAGCCGATGCAACCACACCGCAGGGTTCTTCATATGGTGCCCTCAGCAATGCTATCCAGACCATTCTTGCAGACAAGCGCGGAAATGTGTCAAACAAGGACCTTGTGATGAAAGCACGGTCATTGCTGGCTAAGCAAGGATACACTCAGCAGCCTGGACTTTACTGCAGCGATGACCATGTTCATGTGTCTTTTATATGCTGAAACATGTATCATTACACTTTATGGTGTTCTCTTTTTTTTTTTTTTGTGTTGAGCTGTGCATGAGGGCTTGAAGCTTCCCTGGTATACGTTACTGTTGCGTGTCTATGGCAGTACCATTTAAACGCTATGCTTTGATGTAGACCATGTCTATACTAAAATAAGGGTGTGACTAAACATTTATACATAATATATGCATATATATGCAAACAAATTTTCCTTGAGTTTTATCCAATTTGTTTGTATCCCCTGTTATGCTCTTTACATGATACCTACTACAGTACTACTCAACCCATTTGAGTTGATAGCTCTATTTTTCTTGTCTAGTTTGAGTTATGTTCGTGCTTTTGCCATTTTTGCTACTTTTTATTGTCTTAGGTGTATGAAGTTGAGGTAGAATAATCAATTAGTTTGGTTCCAAACGTTTCATTGTCCATCCAAATCTACCAAACATTTCTTCTGGTTCAAAATTGTCCTGCTGCTCACTAAGCTAGCAAAACCTTAGCCTTGGTGGCAAACTTGGATGTGCAAAATTCTTAGACCTCTTGTCGTACATAAAGAAAGAAAAATATGGCCCTATTTAGATCTCCCCTCAAAATTTTTCACCCCGTCACATCAAACGTTGAACACCTGCATGAAGTATTAAATATAGGCTAAAAAATAATTAATTGCATATATTGCGACTAATTTGTGAGACGAATCTTTTAAGCCTAATTGCTCCATAATTTGACAATGTAGTGCTACCGGAAGCATTTGCTAATGATGGATTAATTAGTATTAATAAATTCGTCTCGTGGTTTACTGATGGATTATATAATTACTTCCTCCGTTTCATAATGTAAGACTTTCTAGCATTGCCCACATTCATTTAGATGTTAATGAATCTAGTCATATTTATGTGTTTAGATTCATTAACATCTATATGTATGTGGGCAATGCTAGAAAGTCTTGCATTGTGAAATGGAGGGAGTAGTTTTTTTTATTAGTGCCCAAACACCTCATGCGACACCCTATATAATACCCGATGTGATACGCCGAAACTTTACACTCCTGGATCTAAACACACCTATGTAGCTGTAGATCATGTTAAAATATGTTTGCATGAGAGTATGTGTTGAATCATGATCACATATGTACGATACACAAAAAGGAGACATAGCTTTCCCGTCTTAAGTTACTTCTGTTTTTTTAACATTACTAGCAGGGTGGCCCGCACAATTGCGCGGCTAGCACTGAACTAAAGTTATATTACGATGTAGAATTATCTACATTTGTTCAACTTGAAATATTTTTTAAGAAACAGAATAATCGACCCGCTAGATTTTACAGCTTTTGCAGGGTGGCCCGTGCAATTACACGGCTAGCATTGAAATAAAATTATATTACGATGTAGAATTATCTATATTTGTTCAACTTGAAATCTTTTTTAAGAAACAGAATAATCGATCCGCTAGATTTTATAGCTTTCTTCACTTTGTTACAAACTCTTTTGTGTGCGCGTGTGTGTTTTGGCTATGTGCATCCTAGTTATGCAGAGACCGGGAGCGTTCTTTTATAGCTTTCTTCACTTTGTTACAAACTCTTTTGTGCACGGGTATGTGTTTTGGCTGTGTGCATCGTAGTTATGCAGCGGCCAGAAGTATTCTTAGTATGGTTGTATCAATTTGATGTAGTTGTCTGAGATTAATAGAAGCTTTCTTTATTTAAAAGAATTGCACATATATAGGTATATCTATATGACAGAGAGATTATATTTCTTGAACCATATACTCTCCAAGGGAAATAATTAATAAAGTGACAATAACAATTTTCCTGCTTCGAGTTCAAAATATGATTGAGCATCTCCGACGTACTCCCTATCATGCGCCATTAAATTATAATTTTATAAAAAAAATGTTCCTTCATTTTTATAGTTTTTAGACCATACTAATTTTCCCTCTTTGACTGCAAAATATTGATAATGTATCTTCGACAAACTCCCTATACTATACCATTAAATTTATGATTTATAAACCAACGTTTCTCTGCTTTTTATAGTTTTTAAAAGTCTCGCCAGTCGCTACATCCCTCTGCTCTTCTACATCATGTCCCTTCTCTTCATTTCCATTGCTTGCTGCCCTTCATATTGTCTTTTAGCACCCGCTGCCACTTTGCTACTCCATTGTTGCCCCTCCAATCGACTTACTTTTCTTAGTCAGGCACAATACCTCACCATTTTTTATAGTTTTTAAGAAGCCGTCACCATCAACTTACTCCTCTACAGCCCCTCAGATTGCTCTCCTTGGCAAGTGACACCTCTATACTCCTTTACGCCTCTCCGCTCCTTTCTACATTAGACACCTTACAAATCACATTGAGGTTCTGTTTTTATATTTTGTAGAAGTCACCACCGTCGCCACCCTCTCAGCTTGCTCTCCATGGCAACCACCATCTCGTTGCTTCTTTTGCCGCACGCTCACTTGTAGGCCTATTCTGCCGTCTTTCATCTTTATTATCGTCGATACTTTGTAAAATCGAAGCTCATTATCATTAGGGTTTATTTTTAGAAGCCGTCACTTCCACTTTACTAATTTATATTGCCTCTTGGCTTACTCTCCATTGGCAACCACCATCTCGCTGCTCTTTTGTCGCCTATCCACTCATTAGCCCACATAGTCTCGCTTCTGTTTTGTCATCAATGTCTAGCGAAATCGAAAATTATTCACCGCGATTATGTTAGAAGTTATTATTATATTTGTAATTATAATTTTAATGATTTCATCTTTATCTAGAATTCATATGGAAATCCAGTTTTGAACTTATTTTATTTTTATTTCAAAATTTAGTTAATCCTGTGTTGTGTACTATATGGACTTTTTTCAATATTTCTTATTTTCATCGCAAATTTTAGTAATTTCTAAATTGTTTTCCTACTTTATTCCGAATTTTCATGACATTTTAAAGTTTATTTGGAATTAGTGTTGAAAACCAATTTCAGAATTATTTTTTTCCGAGTTTCAATTACTCTTACTTTTGGATATTTATAGATTGTGTTTTGCTAGACTTCTTCGCATGTAGTCTTTGGTTGTTCAATTTTTATTACTATTTTGAATTTTAGTGACCTTTTTGTGGAATTCGTATTAAAATTCAATTTAAAATTTTATTTTAAACAAAATCCGGCGGCTTGGATCTGTTATTTTGTGATTACCAGCCCTTGTGTGCAGTAGTACGTTGATTGCAACTGACTTGATTTATTGTTTGATTACCCGTGCTATTGGTTTGCTTGGTACTCCATCGGAATCGGTGAAACCGTGAAAGGCTAAGTGGATAGGACTATAGGAGTATTGAAAAGCTTCTACTCTATAAAAGCTATATAGAAATCTCTAATAAGTTGCTGTCACTAATCCGTGCACAATATACTGTTTCACACTTTTGAACTTAAACCGATTCCAAGTCTAAGGCCCTGTTTAGATTCTAATTTTTTTTCTTTAAACTTTTACCTTTTTCGTCACGTCGAACTTTCCTACACACACAAACTTCCAACTTTTCCGTCATATCGTTCCAATTTCTTCAAACTTTCAATTTTAGCGTGGAACTAAACGCAACCTAATTTATTCGGTTTCTATTACACCGTATATATTCTATGGGAAACAAAGTGCAATTTATACAAACTTGTATTAAATCTTACCGTCAAAATCAATACGTACTACGATCCAATAGTTAGTTTAATTTTTATTTTTCTGAAATTTATAGGCCTCCGCAAAGAGCGTGTTGCGTCTTTTAAATATTATCTTAATATATAATACTCTCTTTCATGGTTTATCTCAAATGATAAGAGCCTAACTAATTTTGTAATAGAACTTGGTTTCTACTGTAGTTCTGCACTTTGGCACGTTTGCATGTACGATGTGTTAGATGTAGTTTTTGCCTTTTTATTTCACTGTGATAAATATTTTTTATCTAAAAGATGCATCAATATTTTATTTATCAGAAATGTTTTTATTTATTTATTTTCTCTGAACGGTGTATCGAATTTCATTTTTATTTTTGAAAATCATATATTATCGATATCCAATTGGAAACCTCGGACGTACTTGCAGTTCTCACACGAAGTGGAAAACAGGGAGGCAGTATTGTTCTAATTTTTACATGGACATGAGTTCATTTTTAAGGGACGCAAGCTGTGGATCAATACATTAATTTTAATATGAGAAAAAGTTCAAATACTTCATATAGACAAAACGAATTTAAATATCCCGGTTAGAAATAAACTTTTCCTTTTCAGATTGGTTGGTTTCACATATACGTACAGGCTGTTTATTTAGCCGTATTGATCTCCAAACTCTTTTTTTACTCTGATTCCTAAGTACGTTTCTCCTTTTTACTTCAATTCCTGTTCTTAGTATGTTTCTTTATGCTTCCGTGGAAAGATTTCCATTATCTGTACAACTCTGATATCTTTATCTATTAGATCTGAGGCGTTAAAATCTAGATATACTATGATCTAACAGTTAATATTTTTCTCCTTTTCTCCGATTAATGTGGGAAACGTGGTGCCTTCTTTTAAGGCTGTTTTAATAATATAATAGATACAAATATTTAGCATGTTTTCACATTTTTATGTAAACATACTTTGGCATGATCAACATCTGCATATTTTAAATTACAAGATGTGGAAATATGGAAAGTGGTGATGTACCAAGACTCAGCTGCTAAACTATATGTTTTTTTTAAAAAATTATATATATAGAAATTCCTTTAAAAAATTAAATAAACACATTTTTAAATAGTTAATACTTAAATACTTATTTGCTAATGGCAAAAAAAAAAAGAGGAAAAGCTAATCGGGCTTTGAGCGCTATGATGTGCTGGAACTTTCTCTACTGCATATCCGCCCTCTTTTGTATAAAACAAAAACATGCTACAAACTGAATGAAATACAGGTGCAAACTGAACGGAAAACAAGTGCATAGCTTGAAGGGACAGTCCCACAACGGCACAACTCAATCTTTTCCCACTTGATTTGAGATTAGCGAAGACAGCAATCTCCTCCCACTTTATTAATGAAGTACCAATAGCAGTGCTAAGAAACCAGAGCAGAACAAGTTCTAGAAAACATCAAGGAAGCAGACAAGCAGGAGATCACTACACAGCCACATCGAAGGCAAGCGCGTATACGTGACTACGTGCACAGATCGTCTTGGATGAGACGGATGGGATCACGGATCAGCGATCGCCGGATCGGCGCCGG